TTTTTTTTTTTTTTCTTTTCAGGAACTCCCTGTCACTGTATTCTCTTACCACCAGTTGCATTTTACAACAGCATGTCTTGTACTCATATAAATTAATTTGTATAGATGGAACTTCAGGCAATGGGTGTACAGATGCTTGATGATTAAAGGAAGATATTTTCTTTTTGAGACAGAGTTTCACTGAGCAGTTCAGATTCACCTTGAAGTCACTATGTAGCCCAGGCTGGTCTCAAACACATGGAAATCCTCCTGCCTCAGCCTCCCAAGTACTGGGATTACAGGCATGCACCACCAAACCCAGTAAGCCTTAAGGGTTCTCAAATCCCACCCAAAGGCACCACTGGTCTCCCAGCCTCATCTCAGTGTACAAACCCAGTTCCTATACACCACTTTGCCATAAAAATCATCATTTGGATACTCTGTGTCCCAAGACGAGGTGAGGTAAGGCATTCATTTTGGAATCAAAATTTAAAAGAACAAAGGATGGCACTTCACTTGCTATTCTTTGTTGTAACCATTAGCTTTCGGCACACTGAAATGGTAGAACCCTGGACAGGGTATTTACCAAAATGCTAGGAAAGGGAATAAAGAGGGGGGGAACGCAGTGATCCATTTCTCTTTGCTGAGCACTGACAGAACATAATAAATGGTTACAGGGAAGGCTCTGTTCTTCAGGGGCGTCTTATCAGTGACACTGGTTAGACGGGGGCATGAGGGTTAACTCTGAGCTCTCTGTTAAGGTATCAAGGAGGGAATGCCAAGGAAGGAACGAGCCTTCACTTAGGCCAACTGGAGGACATCTTTGAAGAGGAAATCAATCCTTTATGAAAATAATGAAAGAGGGCCACTCCTGAACCCCGTGCCTGTACCACACAGCAGCTGTGGCCGGACTGCAAGATTAGCCATGTTGTTGAGAGCAGGGCCAACCTCAGGCATCTGCTAGGTGATAGTCCCCATTCCTGCAGCCTCAGAATGACTGTCCTGTACTGCAATCCATACTGTGACATCACAGACTAAGTTTAGCAGTAATCCCTGACAACTATTTTTCTGTTCTACCAGAAGATTCTTGATTAGTAAGAATTATAAGGAATATTTAAGGATAATACATTCAGCTTTTGTAATTGAGCGTAGGTGCATAGTCTGTGGGTGGAAGCCTGTGAAACACCCCGTAAGAACTTTGCTGTTCTAGGTGTGGTTGCCACCTTGGTATCTCCATTGTTGTTGTCACCTTTGTATTTCTATTGCTTAAGATATCATCACAAAGTGTGAATTCAATAAAATATCTGTTGCATGAATAAGCTAATAAAGACCATAAAGCTGTTATCAATACTAAGTCATAATTACAATGTACCTTTTAGAAGGGTCCCAAATCTAGTAGGTCCTATGTTGCAAGGAACTGCCCAATAAAATAAGAACAGAAACTGAAATAACATGAAATCCATTGCTTAATTCTAGGTAGTGGAGATAGACAGCCTGAGAAGTAAGTGCAGTAGCTGCCCATTGGGAACAAAAACGTTAAAACCCTTAACAAAAGAACACCAGTTAAATGACATCGGGGCCGCAGGAGGCCAAAAGAGTTGCTAACCTTCTGACTTACAGCCCATTCATCTTTGCCAATGAGTCCTGACCTGTCTTCTCTGAAAAGATATGCACAGACCTCCTTGGCCAGTGGAAAATGGTTTTTCCAAATTGCTACCGTAAGCATAAGAGTGAACAAAAATACAGGTGCTCCGAGATGTACAAATTGCTAAACTGACCCAGGAAAATACATTCTTCATATAATCATATTTGCTGCCTAGCTCCTTTCTCCGTGTCCTTAAACCCTTATAAAAACCCCAGTCTCCCACCTTGATTGCATGATTCCTATCTTGGAAACTCATTTGCTGTCCCCCTTGGCGGCGTCCCCAATCTGAATAAACTCTTATCTTCTGTACATTCCTGCATTACCAGCCTCCAAGTGCCGGCTTCCAGGGCAGGAAGCACCACCCTTGAGCAACTGCAGATAAGAAGCTTCCTTACAGTACGTAACGAGCTTGGGAGGCCCAGACAGATGAAAAGATAGGCAATCCGAGTTAATCATATGGATGTTGCTTAATTGTCAGAATTCTTTCAGGACCCCACCAAAACCTTTTAACAGTAGAAAACTTATGAGTAAACAAAGAGAAAATACTAAGTTTATTTTCTTTTTCTATCCATGGCTCACCTCGCTAAGCTATTGGTAAGTCTGAAAATTACCGGGTTCAGTCAAGCACTGCAGCATTGACTCCAGTCTTCCTAGCAGGACAGAAATGAACTTGGTACCTAAAAAGACACTTTAAGAGTGCAGTGGCTCCCAGGGGGTCAGGATCCGTCCAGCCCAGTGAGTGGAGCTGTCGGATCGTCGTCAATGTCCTGGCGGCCACACACGGTAAAGGGCCTTCCAGGATCGGTGCCCGCCGCGCAGTCGGTGCCCCGCAACGCCTGTAGGTAGCTGGCAGCCAGGCCCCAGCACCCTGCACTCAGCGAGCCAATAGTCACAGAGCTAGGGCGGGACCTCGGGGAATCCCGCCAATGGGAGTGCAGGGAGTGGTGGGAGCGCCCGCCGCTGCGGGACACAGGAGCTCGCGCACCGGCTCAGGAAATGTGGGAGGCTCCGGGAGCTGAGGCGTGCGCCGCGGCGCTCCGCGCGCTCTTCCTGCTGCTCTTCGCGCTGGCGGTCCTCCAGCTGCTGAAGCAGAGGCGGCCGGTGGGCTTCCCCCCGGGGCCGCCGGGGCTGCCCTTTATCGGCAACATCTTCTCCCTGGCCGCCTCCGCGGAGCTTCCCCACGTCTACATGAGAAAGCAGAGCCAGGTGTACGGCGAGGTACCGGCCCGGCGGGCAGGGTGGGCCGCCGTCCGGTGCTGGGACGGCGCGGACCTTCCTCCCTGGTGGTGGACGTCGGCAGGCGCCTCTGCCCGTGTGCCGGCGCCCTTTGAGGGAAACCTGCTTGGCGGGCGGAGAAGGGAGAGGTCCGCGGTGCAAGGCCGGGCAGAGGAGCCCCACGCCTACTTTGGCTGAAGCGCAGAAGCGACCTGGTGCGACTTTCCCGCCTCCGCCCGCAGGGTGCCTGCGTGTGCGCCTGCGCCGTGCGGTCCGCGGGCCGCCCCTCCGTGTCCCTCAGGGACGCGCGCCTGCGCGCTGAGCACCTAGAGCTTGTAGTGGCCCAGGTCCGAGGGCACGTGGGTGAGGGTCCAACCCTCGGCTGTGGAAAAGTCGAGGTTCTGTGAGTTGAGGCAGAGTTAAACGTCACTGGGAAGGTCCTTCAGTGTTTGACAGTTCCAAGCGGTTGCTCTGAGGATTATGAGAACACGGGTGAAAGACGCCAAGAGAGGGTCTCTGGTAAATGCTTTTTGGAAGTGTAAAAATGAGTTAATTTTTAAGAACTGTCGTTGGAATCCTACAGCATGGAATGAGCTTTACTAGTCAGAGTGGCCAGGAACATTTTCGTAGCAGAAGGCGCTGACTGTGTGCTGATCTCGCTGTCCAATGAAGTAGATACTTCTAATTTTACAGATTTTTCCACAGGAAAACTGTGGGCAGAAATGTTAAGCAACTGGCCGGAAGAAAGGAAAGCATCCTGTGTTTGGAAGGGTGTCTTCACTTCTTTCAGCAGGAGGCAGAAGTTTCCAGACCACTTGTCTTGTCCAAAGCTGACCTGTTCTTGTTTTTAATGACATTCATTTTTATGCACTCCTTGGCCAGGATCTTGTCTGATTCTAGGGATAAAAAGATGAAGAAGGCAAATACAACCTTGTTTTAAGGAGTTACAATCTAGTAGAACAGACAAAATTGATATGATTATTCACCACAAACGAGTTAAGTGCTTTGAAGAAAAAAGTCACAGGGCTATTCCGTAATTTTATTTCACGGTTGTGCCTGAATCCTTAATTATATTAATCTTTGCCCAGTTAGTTGTATTACCGATTAGTGCTTAAATCAGTTTTACAAAAATTATTCCAGGTTTCTGTAGCTTAGTGATTTACGTTGCAAAAGGGAAGCTGAATTAGAGGAAACTGTACATGTCATTCTTATATTCTATTTTCCATCTTCCAGTTCTCTAAGAATTGAGTTTATTTCTGATTAATATATTTGGTCTCTTTGGTATTTTTTTCATACAAAGTATAATGGTCTGGAGAAATTTAAAAGATAAGAAAGCATGACCTAAGGTTGACTCCTCTTCTGCCAGATAAAATTTCAACATTTCTTCTCTAAAATCTAATTTTTCTTACTCGGCTACTTAGAGTAATGAAAAGTGAAAACAGTAAATTTCTATTCAAATGTTGTTGGTTATTGTTTATAGTCTTGATTACTATGTACAGAATATATTAGGCTTACAAATTTAAAAGGATTTTTAAACTCATCATTTGAAGTGATTTCTCACAGAACAGGAAATGAAGATTTTCATATATGAATATCTGAACCGAAAGAGGTTTACATTAATTTGAATATTCCTTTTGAATGAGTTAATGTAAGTCTTTCATAATAGGTTACACATTATAAGTGTGCTGGAAGACTGTTTTGGGTTAGGTAGATCTGATTCTGTGGATTAAAATTTGACATAGATGTTGGTGTTGTAGTGTACACCTGTAATCCCAGCACTTGGGAGGCTGAGGCAGGAGGATCATCGCAAGCTTGAGGCCAGCCTGAATTATATAGTGAGTTCAAGCCCAGCCTGGATTACTTAGTGGGACCCTGTCTCTCAAAAAAAAAAGAAGACGAAGAGGAAGAAGGAGGAGTGAGGGGAGCATGAGAGGGAGGAAGAGAAGAAGAGGAGAAAGAAGAGAGGTAAAGGGAAAATAATTTTACATGAATAACTAGTTTTATTCCTTGTACCATTATTTAAGGGACCATAGTCCTTTACAAAGAAGAGTCTTTTCTACAAATCAAGTAAAGCTAACATGTACTAATCATTACAAAAGGGGCAAAGAAAAAACGAGCAAAAGTGTAAAGGATGTATGCACTGAAGAGAAGATATTGTTTGCCTCACTCTCAGATTTAAATTGATAACCACCAAACATTAACTGCTTAAATACAGTGGCATTTAATCTTGATCCTTGCTGTGCACACCCCTAAAGCTCTCCCATTATCTTAAAGTTTGTCAGTTCTGCCAAACTCTCAAAATTAATATGTTATTAAAATACTATACCATTTTGCAGGTAGGAGAATGATATCTCTTGTACGTGAGGAAAACTGTGGAAAGTAGTTTATAGGACTTATTTGGAAATAGAATTTTATTTTTCCACTGTCTCTCTTTTGAGATGTGTACTCGTAGAAAAAATCCCCTGGACTTCAATATGGTTTATAAAAATCACTTCAAGTGACACTTACTTTTGCTCAGACTGTGAATTCAGTTCTTTCGTGTAATTATTAAAAGGAAGACAGCCAATCCTCTGGGCTTACATGTTCATTGTAAAGGTAATCTTAAATAGAAAAAATTACCATTTCTTTGAGGATTCACTGGATGGTTAACTTTAATGCAGTGACTCTAATCTTAATCTGGATTTTGAAAAGCAATTGGCTTTGTCAGATTCTTTTTAAGTAATGCATTTAAGGACAATAATCACCTTAAGAAAAGTGGAATTAATGACTTACTATTTTTATAGCAAACATTTGTTGAGAACTTTGTGCAAGATATTAAATGTGATTCTGTGAAGGATTCAAAGACAAAAATCACTCCTAAAAAGATTATAATCTAGCAGACAGGCAGAAGACAGGAATATGAATGTTTCTGGCTCCAGATAATATAAGTGCCATAGGAGCTTCTAAGTATGTATAGAAGTGGCTCAAAGCAGAGAAGAATGTGTGCACCACACGAGGCTTCATGAAGGATGGTCCCTAAAGATATGGAGGGTTTGGGTGGTATGGCAGGCAATGGAGGCATTGCAAATAAAACAAACTGAGCAAAGGTTGAAACATGTGGCAATCACTAGTTTTCATCAACAGCACTTTACACATGTTTGTTACTAGCACTTAGCCTATGATATGCTTAAATGTATGTCTCCAACACAATGTATTAGTTTAACATCTATTTATCAATTGTTTTCATATGTTATGGACTATACTGAATGCTGGAGACATGGCAGTGAATAAAACAAAGATCCTTTCCCTTATGTAGCTTATATTTTAGTGAAAGGAAGACAATATAAACACAATGAGTAAATACTTTAGAAGAGTATAGAGTACGAAATAAGCTAAATTAGGGTAAGAAAAGACAAGAATGCTAGAGGGTCTTCTTTTTTTTTTTTTTAAAGCTGTTTGTTAGGATAATTTTTTTTGTTGCTGGATGTATTGTGTGTACTGATCCTATGGTGAGAACAGAAGAAGAAAGATTCAAACCTGAATGGACAGGATGACCTTCCCAGTCCTTTTGTTTTTTTTTTGTTTTGTTTTGTTTCTCTTCCAGTACCAGGAATCGAGCTCACGACCTTGTGCTTGCCAGGCAGGCGCTGTGCCCCTGAGCTAAATCGCCACCCCATAGAGGGTCATTTCTTAATTGGGTAGTTACAGCAGGCTTCACTGCAAAGATAGCATTTAAAAACTTAACAGGAAATAAAGGGGCAAGCTATAAGAATAGCTAGGGGAAGACCATTCTAGACCAAGAAAAGGGCAAGCACAAAGGCCATAAAGCAGGAGCATGCCCTGTTGAGAACTGTATGCCCTTTTGAGAATTATCTATAAAGAGACAAGAGTAAAATTAGGCTATTGTGATAACATAAGGGAAAAATGCAGGTGGCATGAGTCAGAGTGTTAGTACAGAGGTTGGTCACTATTGTAACAAAATACCTGAGATAGCCAATGTGAAAAGAAGAAAGATTTATTTTGGCTCATAATTTTGGAGTTTTTCAGTTCATGATTGTTTGGCTCCGTTGCTTTTAGGCCTGTTGTGAGACAGTACATCATGGCAGGAGCATGTAACAAGGAAAGCTGTTCACTTTATGGCAACCAGGAAGCAAAATAAGAGGAGAGGCCAATGTCCCAATGTTCCCTTCAGGTACTTGCCTGTGACCTAAAAACTCCCGTTCAGCCCCACCTCTTAAAATTTGTACCACTTCTCAGTAGTGCCAAGCAAAGAAGTAAGCCTTTAGCACATTGACCAATAGAAGATAAATTAAGATCCAAACTATATCAGAGACAATAAGAAATTGTCAGAGTCTATTCATGTTCTCAGAGTAGAAACAGCATAACTATTGAAAAGTTGGAATTGGGGTTTGAGATAAAATGAGTTAGAATGGGTGAGTGCAAGGTTCTGGATTTGAACAACTTAGAGAATAGGTGGTGTTGTCGTTAACTGAGATAGTGGAAGATTCAGGGTAGAACTGGTTTGAGGGAGAAAAAGTGACTTGAAGATCATAAAGTGACTTTTATAAGGCAAGGAAAATGTTTTCACATACCCTGTTTCTATCCCTGTCAGCATATTTATTAGCCATAACAGGTATCAAGAATTATTGAATAGATCAAAGAATGTAGAAGCCTAATTGTAGACCTTTCCATAGATCAGTGCAGTTTAAAGGTAAATTTTCAAAATTTGACTCACAGACTTTTACCCAAAGTCTTTGAAGTGTATACAGTGCATAGAAGAATAGATACTAGTTAAAGTAAAAAAATTTCCCAATGATACTTTCAAATAGAAGGATATCTTAAATTGTTGGATAAAGTGGGTTGAATAACTTTCTGAAGCCATGGACCCTCTTTGATTTTTTCTTATGGAAAAAAAGTAAAACAAAATTTCATAACAAAATAATAGAATAACAGTAGTTAATACACTGAATGTTATCTTTAAATCAGTTATTTAGAGTACAAGATATGGTCATTAAAATTTCTCCAATCAATATTAGCACAAATCTTCCTTTTCAACAAACAAGAGACTCTAATAGTATAACTCACTTGTATTTTTTCCCTTTTCCCTTCCATCCTTTCCCCTTTCCCCTGTTCTAGTTCCTTTTTGCTTTTGAACAAATTCATATCATTTCATAATATATATTTTACATTGTAGACTTAATTACTCTTTTAGTTTCTCACACCAGGGAGACAATATGATATTTGCACATGTGAGTTTGATTTATTTCACTTACAAGTATGGTCTCAAGTTGGATCCATTTACCTATAAAAGTTTCAAGTTTATCTTTCTTTATGACTTAGTAGTACTGCATTGTATAAAAATATCATATCTTTCAATTCGGGGCAACAAAGGCAAACTAGGGGGCATTACAATCCCTGAATTGAAATTATATTATAAAGCTACTGTGATAAAAACAGTATGGTACTGCCAAAAAAACAAACCTCAAGATTAGTGAAACAGATTAGAAGATGCAGAAACAACTCCAGACATACTCAGGCACTTTATCTTTGACAAAGGTGCCAAATGCATTCACTGGACAAAAAATAGCCTCTTTAGTAAATGGTGCTAGAAGAAAATGGCTTTGCACATGCCAAACATTAGAATTGGAGCTGTATCTTTCACCATGCACTAAACTAGATTCAAAATGGATCAAAGATCTTAAGTAGTAAAGCAGAAATATTTAATGTGCTGGAAGATAGAATAGGTAAAACATCTGAAGACATTGATGTAGGCAAAGACTTTATGAATAAAACCCCAATTGCAGAGGATCACAAAGAATAAACAGTTGGGATGTCACCTTATTAAAAAGCTTTTGCACAGCAAGAGAAACCACCAACAGACAAGAGACAACCCATTATGTGGGAAAAATGTATGCCAGCAGTTCTTCAGGCAAAGGATTAGTATTACGAACATATAAAGAACTAAAAGAAAAAATCAGACCTCCCAAATTTAGCATCTCAGATGCCCATCCAAAAATGGACATCTGAGGTGAGTACACACTTCTCAGATGAAAAAATACAAACAGCAAATAAATATATGAAAAAGTGTTCTCCATCACTGGTCATTCGAGAGATGCAAATTAAAACAACACTGAGATTCTATCTCACCCCATAAAGAATGGCTATCATCAAAAAAATCGACCAATAACAAATGCTGTAGGGGCTGTAGTGAAAAAGGAAGACTTCTCCACTGTTCTGGGAATGTACACTGGTGCAACCACTGTGGAGATTCCTTAAAAAGCCACACTAGGATTGGAGATCCTATTTGATCCAGCTCTTCCCGTTCTGGGTAACTTCCCATAAGAATTAAAAACATTGTACCACAGCAGTATATATGCACCCATGTTTATAGCAGCACAATTTGTAATAACTAGATCTTGGAAACAATTCAAATGCCCATCAAATGAGGAATGCATAAAACAGATGTGTTCATTTTATATGATGGAGTACTGCTCAGCCATAAAAAAGGATAAACTGGAGAAATTTATACATAAATGTATACAACTTGAGACCATACTCATAAGTGAAATAAATTAGACTCACATGTGTAAACACCATATTGTGTCCCTAGTGTGAGAGGTTGAAAGAGTAAATAAGATCCAAAATGTACAATAGATGTTGTAAAATGGGAAGAAACTTCAAAAGGAAAGAGGAATTGGGATTGGGGAATAGAGAAAAGAAGGAAGGGAAAAGTATATATGAAAATATATATATATATATAAAAGATAGTTATACTACTAATTTCTATTAGTTCATTGCAAGGAAAGGTTTGTGCTAATATTGTTTGAACAATTAAATGCTGATATCTTATACTCTGAGTAACTGAAGATAACAGTACACAATGTATTAACCATTGTTCCTGTCTTCTTGTTTTGAAAATTAGTGGGGTTTTTTATCTCTTTAAAATAAAAAAAAATACCCCATCTTTCTTTATCCATCCCTTGGTTGATGGAAATTTGGGTTGTTTCCAAGATTTAGCTGTTACAAATTGTACTGCTATAAACATGGGTGCTCATATATTGCTGTTGTATGATACTTTTTAAATTTTTCTGAGAAGATACCCAGAAGGGGATAGCTGGATTGAATGGACTTGTACTCATAGCTTTTTGAGGGATCTCCATACTGATTTCCACAGTGGTTGCACCTCTGCACTCCCACCAACAGTGAAGAAGGGTTCCTTTCTCCCCACGGCCCTACCAGCATTTGTTATTGGTTGATTTTTTTTATGATAGCCATTCTTTCTGGAGTGTGATGGAATCTCTGTGTTGAAATTTAATATGTATTTTTTGAATGACCAATGATGTTGAATAGTTTTCATATATTTATTGGCCATTTTTATTTCTTCATCTGAGAAGTGCATATTCATCTCAGATATCCATTTCTGAACTGTTCAAACCCTGAATTTTTACCTTGAAATATATCCTCTCTCTGTTATTCCTTCATACTAACACAGCTTTCATTGAGAGGGTCTTCACTATCCTTATGAAATCAGTTTTTTTTTCCTGCATCAGAGCCATTTCCTATTAATTAATGCCAGCCTTTTATTGTCTTTGCTAAAATTACATATCTAGGGGGGAAAAAAACCCTTTCCTATAACAACAGAATATTACTGCTTTCAGAACTGAACCCCATTTTTTGCTGGTAGCCATTCCCTTTGTGCCAGAAAAATTCCCTTCCATTGCTTCTTTTGATCAGTACCACTGCTTATGGAAGGCAGTCCGTGCCCTTTCCCCAAAGTTCTGAATGTGAGTTTTAGGGCCCAAGCTTGTGCCAAAGATTAGTAGTCCCAATTTTTAGCTGAGGTTGGTTCTATTTCCACTTAGCAATATTCATTGCTTTTGCTGATGTACAGTAATTGCTTCTACAGAATTTTTGTTCTCTTCTAAGCCTGTTATTTTCCTCTGAAGTAGTATGCATCATGGCTAAATCTGCTCTGCTGATTTCATAGAGATAAGGCTTGTCTCAGTATTTTGGATGTAAGAAGTCTGACAAAATGATGATAAATAATCTTTGCTTCCTACTGATAGGGCAACTTTTTTTTTTATTGGACTAGGCCCTTATATTGGACTAGTTAGAATAAGTGAAACAAGTAGGATTCATGTTCTATTTTGCCTTCCCCTTAGTTGAAAGACAGCGACCTATGCATAAGGGGTGAAGGTGTAACTGCTGGTCAATGTCTTTCTTCCATGATCACATTCCCTTAGGGTCCTCTAGGTTAACTTCATGGAATTCAGGAAGCCAAATGAATTGAGCCTACTTACAGTATGTTTATACTTCATAGTCATCTCTCAGGCCCTTGTCAGTTACCGCCCCATCTAATGCTGATGTAATAATAGGTAGATGGTGCTGCTTCTTCATTGATCCTGCAAATGAAAGGAGATTCCTGTATATTGAACATTTTGAAGTGGAATGTATCCTAAAAGAGCATCTAAATCAAATATATTTTCCGTGGCAACATTGAAGCCCAAAAAGGTCAATTGTTTTTCCCAGGGTCTTCTGTTTAGTGGCAAACCATAGACTAGAATCCAGGCCTCCTGAGTTCAGTACTTGCTCCACTATACTACTTACAAGATTATGGCTCAGGCAATGAATGATTTAATGAATCACACTGTCTAAACACTGTCAAGTAATAAATGTTTGTGTTTTCAAGAAAGTGAATACTGGGAGAGATAGGCTTAGGCTATGTGGATTTTCATGATCATACATCCTTCTACATTTTGCCATTAAAATGTTTTTTTTTTTCTCAAAGATTTTCAGTTTGGATCTTGGAGGCATATCAGCAGTGGTTCTAAATGGCTATGATATAATAAAGGAATGCCTTGTTCATCAAAGTGAAATTTTTGCAGACAGACCATGCCTTCCTTTATTCATGAAGATGACCAAAATGGGAGGTATGTTTGTTTTCAACTACTTGTTCACTAAATTATTTTAAATCACATCCTTTATTTTAAGCAATTTTGGTACATACACTTGGTATTCTTTTGTTCTAACAGGAAAGTATTGATATACAGTATGTACTTACCTGTAGAACTTAGCACTTGAAGACCTCTTTGGATGAATTACTCTAATATTTTAGACCATTACATTCTAACTTCATTGTAAGCCAGTTCTAATAACTATTATAAATTATGTTTGTAAAGAATTAACAATATCTACAGGTTTTATGAAACAAGTCAGGAGTATTCACACACATACACACAAACACACACACACACAAACAGAAATGTCCTTTTAATGCCAGTCTTCAATACATGGTGACATTTTAGTATTGTTTTGCTTCTTGTAGAACCTGAAGCAAAGCATTCAGGTTCTTGCTTAACTGTCATCATGCTGTGTAAATAAAAAGTTGTGAGGGCAGAGTTATGTAAAAGACTGGCCTTCTGTATGACTTGGTGATATGCAACAAGAGAAATGCTGAAAGGTGACAAAAATTGAAAAGAGGAAAACAGCAAATAAAAGCCTCAAATAGAAGGTGGAAATCAGATACAGTGATTTTTTTTACTTCAATTAAGTTTACTGATACATTTTTTATACACATAATGATCATATTCATCATAGGGAATTTGTACCCATACATGATATATTTTGATCCCTCTTTTTTTCCTAATCACCTCTCCTCCATTCGGTACATCTTTCCTTCCTATTTACAAAGCTTTGTTTCCATTTTATCCTTTTTATAATCTTTTTTTCCTTTTCCTTTCCTTCCTTTCCTCCTCCCCTCATCCTAGTTCTTCTTTCCTTTTGAACAATTTCTTCCCATTTCACAATATCCATTGTACATTTTAGTCTTTATTTACTCTTTCAGTTTCTTACACCAGGGAGACAATGCAATGTTTACACAAAAGGAGTCCAATTTATTTCTCTTAAGAGTGTGGTCTCAAGATGCATCCATTTACTTAGAAATGCCTCAAACTTATCCTTCTTTATGACCAAGTAGTACTCCATTATATTAAAAAAAAAAATCTTCTTTATCCATTCCTTGGTTGATGGGCCTTTCCAAGATTTAGCTTTTACAAATTGTTTGTTTGTTTTTTGTTTTTGGTGTTTTCTCCAGTACCAGGAATCAAACTCACGACCTTGCGCTTGCCAGGCAGGCACTGTGCTGCTGAGCTAAATCCCCAGCCCTAGCTTTTACAAATTGTGCTGCTGTAAACATGAGTGGGCATATATTGTTGTGGTATGATGTTTTTAAATCTTCCCAGGAGATACAGTAATTTTAACTTTATAAGAATTTTTTCAGTGTTTCTCCAATGAGAATTTAACATTGAAAGAAAAAAGTAACAGTATCTTGCTTAGAAAAATAGTGGTATTTGTTGAAAAGGAAAAATAATCCTCTATTAAATCACAAAACAAATAATCAACGAAAGCACAGATTTTAAAGACCAAATTCTCAGGCCAAAATATGATATTTGAAAGCAAAAGCTAAATAAAAAACAAATCTCCAGCTTCTTAAGTCTAATAAGTAACAACAATTAGGCCAAATAAGAAAAAAATTATAATAGGAAACTGTCTTAGTTACTTTTTTCCTTGCTGAGACAAAATACCCCACACCTACAAGTTAAAGGACGAAAAGTTTATTTCCACTCACTGTGTGTAGAGGTTTGGTTCCAAGGCAGGGTTGCACAGCACAGAGACATGGCAGAGGAGAAACGGTTCATGGAAAGGCAGGCAGAAAGCAACAAGCAGCAGCAGAAACAGCCTCTCTTTTCCTTTAATCCCATCCAGATTACAAGCCTTTGGGAGACCTTCCCATTATCCACACCCGGAACTAGCTAATTCCAATCAGTGGACTAATTTAGTACCACACACCCTTAACCCCAGTATCATGTGCCCTAGATCCAGCTACCTCTGAAAAGCCCCAGCTATGAGTGCATGACATTTTGGGGAGACATCTAGATACAAGCCATAACAGAAACATCTAAAGCAATGATAAAAATGAAAGATAATGTGATAAGAGTCATATTTGAGATAAAGTATATATTTTTAAAGCTATAAGTTTATAGTTTAGGCTACTTTATTATAGAGTGATAAAATTAGCATTAGACTTAATATTTCCAAAAACAATAAAAGGAAAATAAGTCAAAAATTATTTGTGATGTTTTTAAAGTATCAGGGCGCTGGCCTATCGCCACTGATCTCCTGCTCAGAGGTACGACAGAATAAAACACAGAGAAGCATGTATTTTAGTACAAGGGGCACCAGGATGGTCAAAGCCCAATGATGGGCCAGGACCACGAGGCACACTATCCTTGGCCTTTATTGGGTGCACAGCGGGACTGGGGTGAGGGGGATGCTGGTGGCTGCAGGAAGAAGTGGGGGTGAGCTGCGAACGCAGTCAAGGTTTAAGAGTTGAGGACAAAGCATTTTTGGGAATGCACACAGGAACAGGTCAGGGTTAACTTGTAACCTGACTGTGTGCTAACTGCGACTGCAGAGCTAGACGGAATTTGCAGGAGTCAAGTCCTCAGCTGCCATGTTATCTTGCTTTGAAGTGCCAGAACTACACAGATTGTTTGCTAGTCTCAGCTGTGGTCATCAGCTTAAAGATTCATCTGTCCTTAAGCCAGCTTGGCTTAAGCTTGCTACAAGTCATGTAAGCCAAGGACAGACTCATTTTTTGTGCCTATTTATTAGTATTAACTATTGCCTGCTCTGTACCACATCAAGCTGGTCCTCAGCATAAGCATTGACCAACTAAAAAATCATGCTTGCTATTAGCCTTTGTATTGCTAGGGAGAAGTTTGCCTTTGGGTGGACTTAGCCCCATACCCAGGCACAGTGTGGTCAGTATGGGTTTATTGTGAATAGTGTTCCTATGTACCTTGTACATATATCCCATATGCACACGTTCCTCCAGGCTGCTCTCACCTTCCTGCCTTTGTGCCAGCTGTTCCCTCTACCTGCAGTGAGCTTAATCTGGATATTTGCTTGACTCCCTCATCTCATTGAAGTTTTTACTCAACTATTACCTTTTATGGGACCCTTCCCCTGACTACCTTGTATCTGTTTGCTTACTGTATAATTTATATGTTGTCTGTCTGTCTCTCCTGCTGGTAGTTCTGTGAGACTAGGGATCTCTGCTTCTCTTTTTCACTGATAAATCTGACATTTTAGAACACTTCCTGAAATATAGTAGGTATTCCATGAAACCATGTTGAGTAAATATTTGTTGAATGAATAGTTGTCTGGGGATATGGATAACAAAAATGGACTATGGGAATATAAAATTGCTTCCCTACAGACCCACTTACATATGGCTAACTTTTTGAGAAGCTCCAAATTTGAAAATCGTTGCACAAATTTTTTTGTTGTTGTTTTTTTGGTTTTTCTCTGGTACCGGGAACCGAACTCACGACCTTGCACTTGCCAGGCAGGCGGTTTGCCGCTGAGCTAAATCCCCAGCCCCTGCACAAATGTTTGAATGTAAATTTTATATGTACATCATCACATGTACAAGAGAACACAAGTTTGCATCATAAATATACCCATGTCCTTGTGGCAAATGAAATTCCACACAAAGCACATGTTATATAAATGAGGATACTGAGTTACGTCCTTGATAGTTAATTTAAAGGGGAAATTTCCATAGTAGCCATATCAGAACAACAGATACTCTGTGGAGATTGTGGACTTTTATGACACTATCAACATTTGACAAGTCTGAGATTCATGTTTCTCCCTTTTTTTGTTCACTTGGTTTTGATATATGCATTTCTATTACATTGACAACTCATTAAGGATACCCTTGCTTCTACCTTCCTTACCTTGTTGGGTATCATAAGCCTTTACCAGAAGATAATTACTATTCTAAAATCCAGTGTCTTTTATGAGAAAACTTCAAAATGTAGAAAAATGATTTTTCAGGTGTTTAATTCAAGATAAAATTTTTCCTACAGAACATGCAATCATTTGTCTTTTATAAGTTAGACTTACAGTAAAAGTTAAATAATAAAATTACCTGGACCTACTTCGTCTGCCTTGAAGTACATAAGACTGGCTGGTTCCTTGTGGTGGGAGAATGATATCTTTTTTTCCAGTCCCAGATGAAGAATATATAGGCTTTATCAGTTATAATATTGTATGCCTACTGAGTTGCAGAAAATAGGACCCAATCATACAGTTATATAGAAAGATAATTTGGGGAAAAATTACTGTCCATTTAGAAAGATTATTTTTTATACCATAGCATTTTCAGCTACTTAATTCTGTTTTCCAGGGTTACTCAATTCCAGATATGGCCGAGGATGGATTGATCACAGAAGATTAGCTGTAAACAGCTTTCGATGTTTTGGATATGGCCAAAAATCTTTTGAATCTAAAATTTTAGAAGAAACCAAATTTTTCATTGATGCTATGGAAGCACACAAAGGTAGACCTTGTGACTTTAAGCACTTAATAACTAATGCTGTTTCAAATATAACCAATCTGATCATTTTTGGAGAAAGATTCTCTTATGAAGACACTGATTTTCAGCGCATGATCGAGTTATTTAGCAAAAATGTAGAACTAGCTGCCAGTGCCTCAGTCTTCCTGTATAATGCCTTTCCATGGATTGGCATCTTGCCTTTTGGAAAACATCAACAGCTGTTTAGAAATGCAGCCGTGGTCTATGATTTTCTCTCCAAGCTTATTGAAAAAGCTTCAGTCAACAGAAAGCCTCAGTTACCTCGGCATTTTGTTGATGCTTATTTAGAGGAGATGGATCAAGGTAAAAATGACCCATCATCTACTTTCTCCAAAGAAAACCTAATTTTCTCCGTGGGTGAACTCATCATTGCTGGAACTGAAACTACAACCAATGTTCTACGCTGGGCAATTCTTTTCATGGCCCTTTATCCCAACATTCAAGGTGAGGATTCTCTTGATGGTCCCATGGTCTATCCTTAATTATAGGGCTCATATGTATTTTGGAGTCTTTAGAAGTGCATAAAGCATTTTTAAGGAACTCCTGTTATGCTAGCCAAGAAGAGAAATATTTCATATTTTTAAAGTTTTCAAATTTAGTATCTCACTACATGTTAAAAAAAACCCTTGGAAATAGATTTTATTACATCCGATTTATAAATGAGGACAAAGGAGGACTGTCTGGAAGTGGCAGAGCTGGGACCAAGGTTCTGTTTTTTCTCATTCAATGCTTCACTATTCTTGGCTGAGAGTAGTTTCACCTCAATTCTGGGTTTAACACATTCACAACAGGGCTGTAATTCATATGTTCAAGCCAGGCAGCTTATACCACCAATGTTACATACATGGCTATCCCATTGGGTGGCTTTTTATTAATTTTATTAGTAAAAAGACCAATGAAAGTGATGAGATCTGTTTATATCACTAGTGGTACAAGCCACCTATTGGGACAGTCATCCATGTACCTCCAGTGGTTTAAACCAACAGGAATGTGTTAATTTTTCTTCTTAATCTTTTTAATGTGTCTTTCATGACCAAGTTATTCAGGGTGTTACCTACTATTTATATAAGAAATATAGCATAACTCTCCCAGATAATGAAAAATCTAAAATTATGTGCACCCATATCCTGTTGACTTATCATATGTTACCTGTTATTTTAGCCCAAAGAGTTCATTATTATAGATACATTCTAAGAATTATATAATAACTTGAATGCTTTTTCTCTGACAGGACAAGTTTGGAAAGAGATTGATTTAATTATGGGCCCCAGTAGACGGCCTTCTTGGGATGACAAATGCAAAATGCCATATACTGAAGCAGTTTTGCATGAAGTTTTAAGATTCTGTAATATAGTTCCATTAGGGATTTTCCATGCAACCTCTGAAGATGCAGTTGTACGTGGTTATTCCATTCCCAAAGGCACAACAGTAATTACAAATCTTTATTCTGTACACTTTGATGAAAAGTACTGGAAAGACCCGGAAGTATTCTATCCTGAACGATTTCTAGACAGCAGTGGACATTTTGTCAAAAAAGAAGCTTTGGTTCCTTACTCCTTAGGTAAGAGAACTTCACAGGAGTATAACTTTAAAGTATAGCAGTAAGTTGTCGTGTATAGCCTTTTAATCTAAAGCTTCTTTCTCTAGAATTAAGTATTCCAACTTTGCAAACATACTGATTCTTACAGAAGAGAATTGTTAGACTAGAGGTAATTTAACAACTGGTTCTACTCAAAATAACTCTGAACTTTTTAACTAGGGTTAAACTATTAGAAAGCTGTGGCTTCTTCTGAAATTCTTGTTAGTGGATTTTTGGCTTGTAGTCAGACTTGGCCAGATAGAAGTCAATAACAAGTGACTTGTGAAACTGAGACCCAGAAAAAGAAAAGATAAAACAACTTGAAGTAAAACTGGAATCTAGCCCTCTTGCCTTCCAATTCATTGTGTCATCTCCAAGTAGGAAATACTGCTTCTGGTATGAAATAGGATACAGATCACAGACCCATGAAAGATAAACCAAAAACTCTTACTAATCATTGAAAAACTACACATTTAGTGAGTTGAAATGAAATGAGGCATCTCTTGACAACGCAACAAAATGTCACACATCAAATTAGGTCATTCATAGCGTATCTTAGGTCAGTGGTGGCGAACCTATCACTCACATGCTACAGCATGCTGTTTGTATCATTGGAAACTCTAAAAGGTTGGTCATCATTGCATAAGCTCTGTTGTAGTATGTGAGAGAAGTCAGAGTTGGGATTACAGTTTTTAAAAAGTTTATGGCCTGACATAGGAAGCAAAATAGTGGTTCTGGAAGCTGAAGTGCTCATTTCTATTGTTTGGGATTTAAGAGGATATTTTAATTAATACAACTTTCTCTAACTTACTTTAAATTCCAGATTTCCCAAGTGTCATCCAAATATTAGATATAAATTTTGCTAAATGTGGGTTTCCACAACTTACCGTGCCTGCTTTTTTTGTTTAGGGAGAAGACATTGTCTTGGAGAACAGCTGGCTCGGATGGAAATGTTCTTGTTTTTTACAGCATTGCTTCAGCGGTTTCATTTGCATTTTCCACATGAACTAGTTCCAAATGTGAAGCCCAGGTTAGGTATGACATTGCAGCCCCAGCCTTACCTCATCTGTGCTAAAAAGCGCTGAAAGTGCATAGATGTTTTAAGGAATAAGGATATATGTTTGCCTTACCCCAAATCTTATTTAATCTAATCAGCATGAGGTTTAAAACAAGTCATAATATCAAAAAGCCAAACCAATGTATCATTAAAAAGAACAATAACTAGCATTAGCTATGATTTCTTTTCAAGCTTGTAACTTCTAAGGTACAATTCTTTTACTGAGGAACATGAAGGTGCAAGGGACAGATATTGCATAAGATGCAAAGAAAGGAAGCTGAGCCACTTGTTAAGTATAAGGTTCCTCTCATCCCTTTTGACTCCATTTACCTGCTAGTAGAGCTTTGTTTCTAAATGCCAGCTCCTTTCTGATCCAGGATTATCATGAATAGACTGTGGTAGCAGTCCGGTTTAATAGAAGACAGAAGAAATTAGAGTTCAAATAAATTAATTTGGACTGTAGGTATTTTAGATATGGTAACAGATGATGAAAAAATATATATTTGGTATAGGGCCAGCCTTGCTTTCAAATATTGCTTCCAACTATGTGTCCATGAGAACTGTGTCATTATTCCTATAAATGGTGATCTGCTTAATTCCTGAGCTTCCATCTCAACAGCAGCTCAGGAGAACGAAAATGACAGATGGCTATTAATGTTTTATAGGCACAGACTGCAGCACTGTTTGTGAAAGCAGTTACCATATTTAAAGATCAGATCATCGTATTTAGTAGAGGTCTTTCATGGGTTCGTGTTTTCCCTAAACATAATATTCAAATCCAAAAACAAGCTGTTGAGCATTAAAAAGAGCAATTAAAGAGCATGATTGTGTAAATTTGCATACTTGAGAGTGGTGGAATGCTATTAACAGTTTGACCAGAAGAGGCAAATTGTGAATGCCCTGAAAAAATGGGAAAATGTGTTCAGTTATTTATAGCTGTTTTTTACATCATCATTTTTTCTGAAGTTAATACTCTTATAATTTGGCTTATGAATAGTGATAGCCTCTGAATAACTGCAAATAGTCATGACATATTAAGAAGATGGATTTAACCTTAGTTTAGCTCCATCTATTAAATACTCTCAAGTTTCTGCGTTATAAAGAAATCTTTGCATCTCTGGTGCATTAAGATTTCTTCAGTTGCAAGGAAGGAGAATCCTACGAAAATTTGCCTAAATAATCGAGGGAAACTTGGAGGTAATATGGAAGTTTTAGAGTCGATATAGCCTAGATGCTTCATGATAAAATCAAAGGACCTGTTTCTTCCCATTCCTGTTTTCCCTTCCAGATGATATCAGCTTTATCTTAAGGCTGGCTTATGTGGGAGTGCATGTGTTCTGCCCCCATTCCATGTACAGTGAGCAAGTCTGAATTGTTTCTGAGATAGCAAGGAAATTTTTCTTATACCCTCCAGAAAACTGTTCTTTGTGTCCCAGAGGTCCTATCTGAGTCTTGTGCCCATACATTAACTTAAACCTGTGTTTTGTGAGTGGGATTATGGTTGACTTGGCCTGAATATATAACTATTAGAACTAGTGATGGAATTGACTTCTCCTGAGAGCGCATGTCTTGTATAGGGGTGGTATAAACAAAAATCAGGATAATTATGAAGAGAAGAATTATAAGTGAAAAGACCATTTATAGTATCTACCTCACTCGCTTCTATCTGTTTCCATCCTACCTTTGTGAATCTTGACAAATGTACTCATAAATCTTTAATATTTGTTCTTTTTTGGCACAACAAATCTTTCATCCTTGGGCCTCCTCTTAACATCATATCGCATATAACACTAAACCTAAGTTGAACTCCAGGAATTTCAAAGTCTTGGCCATCCTACTAAGCAATGCAGCTCTGTGAACTGAAGTGGATTGTAATGAAATTTGGAGAGGACTTATTTTACCATGTATGTAATTTAAAACTGACAAATATTAGAAATTTAAGCATATGTTATCTAGATGTCCCTCAAGAGCTTTATGTGCTAATAGGGCCTTTGAAGGGTGATTGGATTGTGGGAGTGATGTAGTTAAAAGGGTATTAGGAGCTAGGTCCTGATTGAAGAGGCAGCTCACTGGGAGCATGACCTAGAAGACATGTCTTCCACCCCTGCTTGTTCCTTCTGTCTGCTTCCCTTTGCCCAGACCGTTCTGCCATGATGTGTGATGAAGCCTGCTGAACATGAATTGAACCCAAATAAAGCTCTCCTCTTTTAAATTATGGATGTCAGGTATTTTTTTTTCAATGATGAAGAAAGTGTCTAAAACAGAATATTTAAGAGAACAGGAGTAAAGGATAATATTGCCTAAAAGTTGGTACTGAGAGGTAGGAAAGAATTGCATACAAGATAATTTTTTATATTCATAGAAGAGACACTGATGCTATAAAGAAACAGGGTCCACACTGGGTGTGGTGGTGCACATCTGTAACCTGAGCACTCTGGAGGCTGAGGCAGGATGATTGCCATGAGTTCGAGGACACCCTGGGAGACATAGTGAGTTCAAGTCCAGCCTGAATTCCATAACGAAACCCTAACTCTGAATTAAAAAAAAAAAAAAAGAAAGAAACAGGGTCCAAATATAAATATGCTAAATATAAAGCTGACCACTGAACCAAAAATACAAACCTTCATAAATATTAGGAGAACTTACATGAATTTTTTACTGGATCTCAAAAAATCTCAAAAAAAAAAAAAAAAAAAAA